TAAAAAATTTAATCACGTCATCCATTTTTGCCAAATGAAATTTCCACGTAATTTAGTAAAATGGTAAAAAACAAAAAAAAAAGTTTTTCTGTTAATTAACTTGCCACATCAGTTAAAATTTAACGGAAGGACTAAAAAGGGGCCGGATTTGTGAACAGTAAGGATCAAAAAAGGGATTTTTTCGGTACAGGGACTAAAAAGGGGCTTTTTCCTATAGTAGAGGGACCAAAAAAGGTATTTAACCTTTAATTTTTAAAAGACGAAGAGGGGAAGAAGATGATAGAAGCTGCCAAACAAAATAAAAGCCTAGATATCCTCAAAATATGGTAATTTGACAGAAGATTCAAAGCTTGACGAAGAACCCCATGCTCGATGAATTGCAGATCTTGCCAAACAAAGACGAAGGGGGGAAGAAGACAAAGACAATAGAAGTTGATCGCTAAATCCCTAAATCCCTAAATCCCCAAATCCCCAATTTTATTCCCTAAACAACTTAAGGGTATAAAAGTAATTTGTATAATCTGTTGATTTTGAGGTATTTGTCCAGCTGTGCCTCCACCTTAGCAAAAAAAAGGCCACGTCAGACAGAGAGGAAAGGCTGATGAGCGGACTGTTAAATATTAATGGAAGGATTAAGAGAGGGGTTGATTTGCCACTGCAGGTGAGTTGAGGGGTTGATTTGCCACCGGTTGGGGTTGAGGGGGTGATTTGCCACCAGTTAGTGAGTTTAGAGGGTGATCTGCACCTTTTGCCTTAAAAAAATGGGAGTTTTCCTTGTTGGATTTATACGTCATTAACATTTAAAAAGTTAAGTGATTTGCTGGTAAATTAACGTGACACCTGTCATTTAATTGACAGAAGGACTATTTTGGTATCAAAAATGAAAGTTCAAGGATAATTTTAGTACTTTTTAAAGGTAAAGGACAATTTTGGTACCAAAGTGTAAAGTTGAGGGACTAAAATGGTACTTAAACTTATAAAAAAATATTGCGTTAAATGATGAGAGAGAGTTGTTTCTCATTATTAGGATGACTATTGAGTACGAATATACTCCTGTTACTTGCAAGTATCTTACTCATTTGGATAAATATCATAACCGAACTATAGAAAAAATGGGTTAAGCAATGAGTATAAAAGTAGCATATCCTTAAATGTCTAGTCAAGTAACATATATAATGGTTCAAAACTACTTTTGAATTTATTTAATTGACATGTTACTTATACTTATATAATTAAAATTTTAAATGTACTTATTATATTTAATAATTATATAATGATAATAATTTTTAAAAATAAAAATAGTAAAATACAAAAAATA